TCTTCATATATTCTCTTATAAATTTTAAAACACCCCACAGGAAATATTCTTTCAAGTCCATCTAGCCCTTTAACTTTCCAAAATCCATATCCTAGTCTCTCTTTTGCTGTTTTCCAAAAAAGTAAATCTTTTCTTTTTAATCCTTACACTTGGAGCTTCTTTCATGCAGGGTAGGAGATTCTCCCAGCGTAATAAAACTTGCCCTTTGGAAGGTTTTTAACTTCTAAGAAATTAGTAAAAAGCAGCTTCCTAAAGTAATTAAGAGAGGCAGTAGGCAAACCCAGTGTCTCTTTGAAAGGTGCCGAACCATGGCTTACACAGGATGGTTTTCCCCTGGCTCCCAGAACTCTCAGACCCGCTGGAGATCGCTATTTTACAATCTCTTCACAGGGAAATTCTGTATGGAGCAAACTTGTGGGTGATCCTTGTCCTCTCCTTGAACTGAACAGTAGTCCTGAAGAGCTGATCCATTAACCAGTTCCTCTTTCCACCACAATCATCAGCTCCTCAAAAGCAGAGTTGTGTTCAGTCTGTCATTATTATCTCTGGAAGTCTTCTGTTTGAAGCAATCTCTTTCTCCTATATTACTAGACAAGGCTTTTTTGGTTTTGCTCTGGCAAAACTCTCTTCTTCCCCCTCCCCGCTTGAGGTTAGGATTCCAAAATAACCAACCTTTTGTTCTCTTCAGCCCAAAGAAAGGGGCTATGGATTATTCCCTGCCCTTCCCCATATGTTATCAGGCATATCCTACTTGGGAAGCAAAAGTATAAAAACCCTGTTTGATTGATTGGTGTAGCCTTCTGGGCTGAGTCAGCTTGCTTACTTTGCCTACACACAGATGATCCTGGAATGAATAGTGGCTTGCCCATTCATTACACAGGTTCATTATATTAAGATATGATAATTTATTTTTACACTAAAAGCTAAAGAGATAGAGTATAAAAGCCCTAGCAACTTGACAGACATACAGAATCCTAGAAATCACAGATGGGCAAGAAATAATCTCATGAACTTCTGATAAAATCATATAAATACTTACCTCAGAGAACCACTTAGAGAAGAGGCTATGACTATTTATCTCTATCAACTGTCCATAGCGGTACCTAAAAGTTTAATTAAAATCAATCCTTAAAACAAAGATTATTATTCATATCATGTCTTTATAAAGCATTAAACCAGATGACACTTTTCCCAATAGTCTTAGAGTTATACATATAGCAATGATTAAACCAAAGTTGACCATTTGTCAACTGTGAGGATTAACTAAAGTGAATGAGGCTGAAACAGGGTCAGCTTTGGCTGGATTGTGACTACATTCTTCCAGTTCTCAACCTGAAATAACTATTATTAAATAAGGAAAAATATTCAGTATCAAGGGAATTAACAATTTCAGATTGGGTCATAATCTTTAATTTATATTGTTCTGAAATACACTACTACTTTTAATTTGTTTTCATCTAAATGTTTATCTTGTTGTGGAAGTGGAGGTTGCACAGCAGGGATGGAATGATGTCCAAGTGAGAAAGTTCCAGTTTAAATGAAGAGCAGTATACACACAATAATATTCAATGTTTGCAAATTAATGTCGAAATGCTATCTTTTGGATTAGATGCTATTTTAATTTTGAATATAGAAAACATTACTTAAAATTACCTATGTGAAAGTCTAATAGTCAACTTCTGAGCCATTGCTCTACAAAGAGAAGTTTTACCAGTACCAGGAGGACCTGCAATCAAAGTATAGAGTACAGTCACTATTAAATAACTTAATTCAGCATGTTTCCTGCCACATCAGCTGACAGCATTTGCTACTGTTATGGCTGCTCTCAAAATAGTGACAAGTCACACAAAGTAGCTCAGTATACGAAAACAGTGCAAAGCAGTAACTGGGAATACATTTTGCTTCATCTTTCTGATTCCCTTATACAATACAATATGGGGGTAATAATACTGATTTTCTTAAAGGATTTTTCTAAAATTATTTAAACTAATAAATGTGAAACATTATCAATCTTACAAAATGCTATAAGCTAAGCAGTGAAGGACAGGAAGGCCTGGCGCAATATGGTTCATGGGGTCATGAAGAGTCGGACACGACTTAACGACTAAACAACAACAACAAGCATTATGCTAAATTGTTCTAGCTGCACACTTTTTAATTAAAAAGGTAATAGTTACCATGCAGTAGAATAACTCTGTTCCATGATATCAAGTTGTTATTAACATTTCTGTCAGAGAATAGTAATGTTGTAGTCACGTAATTTAATAACTAAAGAGAAAAGTAGAAAACAGCATATTAAAACAAAATTGAACATTTTTATTAAATGCATTGCTTCCATCAATGTGAAAAGCAAACCAACCATATTTAAACATAATAGAAATAGGAATGTAGAATCCTTTCTTAGCAAATAGCTGCTTTTCCAAGATACTTTTTCCACTTTGTGGAATGGAGGTATGTGCATCCTACAATAGATATATAAACATAACGTTTTGGGAACAAATCAAATTATAACAAAGCAGACTGAATTTGGGAATAAAATAGTGTACCTATTTATGAATTATATCTTTCCTGTAAATAACTAGAATTTCTCAATATCCTCACTTTTAAATGCCTATTTCTTCGGGATTCAAGAGTGCAACATTTTACAATACAGAATCTTAAACTGGATAATTTGGCTTTTTAAAATGATTGTACAAATGATTACATGAGGCTCCCTTCAGAAAATGAATGTCTTTCCCATTCATGTGAAATTAACGTATGTACAAACATTCCCAAAATACATGAAATGAGCTAATAAAAGGAAAAAGATATTTCCCTAATGCCATATCACCGGTACAACTAAGGGTGGCATCCTATTCTATTCTTTCTTTCTACCTAAAAAGCATTATGTGAAAACTTTAATTGATTAAAGTTATGATGAACTACAGAGGGCAATATCTATGGAAAATTGGTATGTTGTGTTTGATAAAGAGGGAGTATACAATAGATCTGAATGAAAGTAATCTGATCCTGGGTAAGTGAATTGTTGAATACATCCGCATAGAAGTAAAGGCGCAGGTTAAATATGAACAAAAGGGGTTAAATCCAATGTGTGAAATAGTGTCACTGATAGATATGCATGTATAAAAAAGTAGGAATTTATAGGTTAGTTATAGCTTAATGTAAGATTTTGCCAAAAGAAAGAAGACTCCTAACCTTATAGAAAAAAATTAGCAGGCTTGAATGACTTCCTCCATTAATCCAAAACTACAAAACCCAGCAGAAAGTAGTATAATGGTCACACCTGGAAGAGGAATTATGTTGGCTATGAAAGCAAGGTTTGCCCTGGTTATAAAATCGGCTTTTGGTTATACTGGAATACATAAGTTAATATGCGCTCCCATCAGCTCAAACTTTGCTCACCTTAAAGTTAGGGGTGAAAGAAAGAAACTTCACTACTGATGTCAGAAATAACTTCAGTCTTGCTTAACTCATTAAAGAAAACCAAACCAAACCAAACCAAACACAATCTTAAATTGTGTGCGTGTAGAATTAGCCTCAACTTCACACCCACTTTTGTTCCCTTGTTGCAGATCGTAATTAAGAGGAAATACTTTTCAAACTGTCTTACTTCAAATGCTATGACTGCCCTATAAAGGGAAAATAGCATTTATTATGGCAAAAGCTTTTGGCACTTAAACACTGCGATATGCATTTTTGTAGAGTAGACTCCACTTTACAGGATGCATGAAGTCTTACTTTCAGATGTCAAATGTAATGACTATAACAACACTATTTAAACCTAAGGTAAAGTAATATTCAATTATAATTCAAACCAGCAGTAAAAACTATTCACATAATATATGTTGGATGATTAATTAAACATATATTGTAAAAAGGAAATGCATAATCCTTCAAAGGAGAAAGTGGCAATGCAGAAAAAACCATTGCCAACTCCAATCACTAATTCTCCCTATACAAGCCTATCCTATCCTTACCATCAACTCCACTCTATTTTTTCCTTTCCTGTAATGCATTTCTATTTTGCAGAGTTCAGGAGGCACCAAATTTTCCAATGGCACAAATAAATGCTAGGAAACACAGTGAAATGGTTTAAGCAAATCAGCTATTAAAACAATACTTGTTATCAGTCTTGGAAAGGGGAAATTCTCTCTTGTAATTAACAATTCAGTTCTGATCCTGCAGTCATTCCAAAAAAGAAATCTTTTTAAATGAAGAAAATCTGAGATAGCCAGATTGACTATGTCAATCTGAAAATTGTATTGTTTCAAACATTTGCAATAGACAACCATTTATAAACCTGATAACAATGCAACTTACATCTGATTTTATTTCAGCATCATAAATCAGGCTCTCCCACAAACAATGGAATTCAACTGTGAAACACAAAAACTATTATTTTAAAGAGAGAGAAAAAGGCAAACCATTCAAAACAGTGTAGTAGGCAATAGAAACACTTGGAATTATGGAAGTACGTCGTAGTGACTTTAATAATGAAGGAGGGTAGTTTGCCCATTCACAAAATGTTACCATACTGGCCAGTCAAAAAACTCCCAATTAGCTGAAAAGAAGCGTGTGAGAAAATGAAAAACCAAAATCACATGCTTTCAAAGTAAAAATGAAAACGAAAGTAGTGATTGCATGTATTTTTATGGGGTGTTTCTTGTCTTCCTCTTCACTTTAAACACTATACTTGTAAAAGCAGTTTAGATAGGATTGCAAAGTAACATATTTTAAAGTCTACAGCTAAGCATGTGCATTTCTGATCAAATAACACCCTTCCTGATATGATCATCTTTGCCTACAGAAATCATGAGGTATAAGCCAACTATTAAAAAAACCTTTAAGTCCCAGGAATTTCAGCATAAACACTTTTCAGTTCATACTTCATTTTCCCACTGGAATTTGAAAATGTTTAAGTTCATCATTATGTCTACTGGAATGCATTTTGTTGTCTCAGAAATATTTCTAATTTCAGAAAGCAGTATACTTCATTTCAAAATGGTGTTCAGTGTGATTCTTGTTTCTCTTATTTCTCATTTAAACAAAATCTTGTCCATTTAAATAACCAAATCATACTCGCAGGTTCTCTTGAAATACCTGCAGGTAATAACCAATGATTAGCTGCAACAATATCCTCATCCTCTGCATCCAGATTTTCTGTACTAGGCCCTTCCTCATTGAGATGAAAAATATGGATTAAAAGTCTGCATTTATTCAAGCTGATAGGCTGCAATGAAGAAAAAACAAGTTAGGCTGCAATTATACCCACGCCTACCTAGAAATATGTTGTAATGGAAAGTACTTGATAGATATGTATAGAATATCACAATCACCCTTTAACAATTATTTTAAAATCTCTTAAACGCATGGTTAGATGTTAGAAAAAATACTGACAGCTTATAAAAAAATTAAGGTGATTTTCAAAAGATTAATCTAAATGGGCCTTATTCAAAATAAGACAAGATCTCATCTACCTATAAACTAGAATGAGATAGTATTGTGCCTTCTTTCTATTCAGTTTGTAGTTAGGAAATAACATGCTTAAATATTTCCCCATGAGTAGAGAAACATTTTGCAGATCAAGCTAGCATAGTTTTGAGAAACATCAACATACACACTTTCTGTTTTCATCTAGGGGGCATTTAAACATGTGGTCCATTGTTGATGGGGGTATAGTTCATCTCTAGAATCATGTTTTTGCATTTTTATTATTATTAAATTACAGATTCTAAAATTATGGGTTTGTCTCTGCTAGGAATTCTCACATGTAATCTACTCTCTTGAAGTATTTGGGAGAAGGGAATAACTTTGGATTATTTTTTAATTAATCCAAAAATAATTGTGTTAGGTTTTGCTTTCACCTCAGCAAGCTTTTCTATGGAAGATACTGATAGCATTTTATCATAAGTCTTGCAGCACCTTTTCTGAATAACAATTTTATTAAAAGGCTTTCATGAATTTTGTCAGAAAAGGTGCTATCAAACTTCTGATTTTTGCCACCATAGACTGACATGGGTCTCCTCCTACAATGACAGCATTTTAATTATATTTAATAACAATTTAATGGTTGAATAGTTAATTTAAAATTAAATCTTTAAAGGATTTGTTATATTTGTTTGATCAGTGTGGCTGCCCAATTACAAAAAGTAACTCTAGGTGACTTACAAGTTGTACAAACATAAAAACAAGGAACTAAAAATAAAACACAGTAAATATCTAGAATAGAAAAAAGAGCAACAATGACAGAACAAAAATAGCAGAATTCATTGAAGCCAACTAAGCGTATCTCATGCAAGATCTTTCTTTAAACCTCATCATGCTTTCTGATCCAATGCCCGGAGAAAGAATCAGGTTTTCAGGGTCTTACAAAATGACAAAAAGATCAGGACCATGTTGTTTCACAGAGCAGGCATTACAACAGAGATAAGGCAGGCCTCCTGGGTCCACCAGATGACACTATTGCATAGAAGGAAACTGAAGCATGCCCACTCTGCTGGATCTCATGGGCCAAGCAAAAATAATTGGAGAAGGTGATTCTGCAAATAACTTGATCTTATGTCATGAAGAGCTTTATAGGTGATATTGATTATGTGCCATCAAATGGGTGTCCTCTCTTAGCAACTTAAATTGTACTTGGAAGCTTATAGGGAGCCACTGCATTCTGGACCAAGGGCAGCCCTATGAAGAGCATATTGTAATAGTACAAACAGGAGATGATTAGGGCATGAATGGCTGTAAGCACTATTTGAATATTATTTGAATAATTATTATTATTTGTAATATTCATGCTTTAAAAACATTTCAATAATTTCAATAATTAATAAAATATTCGAAATGTTGATCTCCGGCTATAAACATGGAGAAATAAACAAAAGAAGAAACACCAGTTACCTGTCTTTCTTTCAGCTGTAGCTCTGTATCCACAACTGCAATTGACTGCACATTATTTGTTAGGAAACAATCATCAAACTCAATCCATTTGTAATCACCAAAAATAACACTGTGCCTGTTTAGTAGCTTTAAGACACTTAGTTTGATATCTTCTTTTTTTGCAGTGCTGGTTAAAATAGGAGGGAAAAAATCAGCTTCACCCATGACCATTACACCCAGGAAAGATACAGTGCCACTTATTTCAACCAGCTGAGACATGAGACTCCACCCATCCTGCTACTAGAGGATGGTATGCACATACAAAGCACACTTCACTGATAACCCATACTCTTCTGATTATAATATCCTCAAGCAATTGAAGAAAATGTTCTTACTTGATACCAATACTTAGAAGAAACTTAAAAAAATAAAAGTGTGCATAGTTATGATTGAACCACTAAATCTTACAGCACAAAGAATCTCCTGTCAGTATTCATACTGACGTAAGTGGGAAAAAAAACTTTTAATATAAACAAGATGATCAGTTAGCTGCTCTAACAAAAGCAAAGATACCATTTTGTCTGCAGACTTGAGTGTCAAAAGAAAGCTTAGGCAACCTTTCTGAGTACATTATGACGTTTGAGATCACAGGAGCTCTCACAGAGCAGCTGCCACAAGGGAGGTTTCCTGGCTTCTATGACTGATCACAAAGCCTTATTTACCAAAATACAAAGCAGCATGATTACCCTCTCCTCCACCCCCCACCAACTTTCCAGGATGCTTCTTACCACCTCAGCTTATCTTTGTATTTTTCTTTGGCAGGTGGGTGCCCAACATTTTTTTTAAAGAATGTTTAGAGAACTCACAGGCAATCTTCTAAACAAAGATGACCCTGCAGGCTAGAACTTTGCTTTGGAGTTTCCTTTATCAGGTGAATTAGGGCAGGGCCTTTCAAACTTTTTCAGGCCATGGAATCTGTTAGTTTAAAAAAAAACAAAAACAGACTCCTAATCCACAAAATGGAAGTGGAGAACAAGTCCTGCCCTTTCCATTGTACCTTTGAAAAACTGCTATGAATATCCTTGGCTGTGTTCAAGTGATCCTTTTTGGGGGGGTGGGTCTGTATGCTGCATGGAATCCCTTCATGAGGGGTAGAACCAGAGGGTTCTGCAGAACACAGTGTGAAAAAAACTGAGTAAGGGTGCCTGGAAGCCACCAAAAACAATCTTCATGACCATTTATAAACCCTTATTCTTGTAGAGGGTGGTGTCATATGCTTAATGTGTCTATTACATCCATTGCAATATTGATTTGGGGAGAATTGTTTTCTCTAAATATACAGTCAGGTCCAGAAATATTGGGACATCGACACAATTCTAACATCTTTG